CAGGTTTTCATGAACGCCAGTAAGGTAACAATTTGTTATGAATTATAAATTTCCGTTTACTTGAAAACTTTTGAACTTCTTGGAATTTCTTCTAAAAATTTTAGGGAACCTGAAAATCATTTCAAATGCGATTTTTTTTTGGTCAACTCTCCTTCTTCCTCCCACATACATCGGTGTCCAGTGTGTCTGTAAAGTCCCCTTTCATAATGCAAATGCCCCTGGGGAAAAGGCCCAGCTGGCAGTTTCCAGGTAACACCTTAAAAGTCCATAAATGCTTCAGCTTCAGAGCAGAACTGAGACGTGGGCTGGGCCTAGGAAAGGACGGAAGGGCCCCTTGGAGGCTCGAGCTCTGCAAAGGCTCAGAGACCTCACAGCAGATGAGGTGGAAAACAAACTTAGTGTGCGGAGGGGGAAAACCGGGCAGAGTAAAGCCACTTTTCAACAATTTTGTCATATGTACCAATTCCTATACACGGGGATGGAATCATTTGTTTTCCTCTCTGTGATATGTATACATTTGTAAATGTATATATACAAATTATATTTAATCCAGTCACTTAACTGACAAACCACCAATGACTAGAGGTGGAATCTGAGGTTTGCCCAGGGGATGTTAGTGCTGTATCAGCCCCCAGTTCACCAATAAGAAATAAAATATGAAGAGACTAGGAAAATATTGAACGTTCACAGGAGAAAAGCTCAGAATTGCCTTTTTCTCCTGGGGAGGAAGGCTGGCCTTTTTGGGGGGACAGTTTTTTCAAGCCCTTACTTTTCAGTCTTAATATTCACCATCCAAACACTGACGAATAGCTTTCTTCTTGGTGCTCTGACACTTTTTACTAAAACTTAAAAAAAGTAAGTTATAATTGTATACAACAAAATGTGAAAATATTAAGCTTGATGAATTTTTACCTACGTACACACCTGGGTAACTCCAGATCAAGTTACACAGAAAGAACATTTCCATCACCCTCAAAGTTTCTCAGGCTCCCACCCAGTCAATAGCCATTCTCTCCCCACCCCCACCCTCTCCTCAGACAACCAAACAGTCCTACCTCTATCAACACAGAATATGCTGTTTTGAACACGCTCTCTCAATCATCCATGGTTTTGTCCATGATTTTGCATGTAACAGGAGTTCAAATTTCCATTCCATGGGTAGATCACAGTTTGCCCTATTCACTGGCATTAGAATGTTCTAATTCTAGTTTTGGGTGATTATAAATAGCATGGCCATGGACATCCTTATATATTTTTGTTGGTGGACATAAGCGCTCCCTTCTCTTGGGTATATTCCTAGGAGAGAAGTTGTTAAACCAGAGGGTAGGCATGGGTATAACTTAAATAGGTAGAGCAGTTTTTTAAAAATATATACATTTTTTATTTTTAGAGAGAAGGGAAAGGAGGGAGAGCGAGAGGGAGGGAAACATCGCTCAGCTGCATTGCCTGGCCTCTCACAGGACCCACCAGGAACCTGGCCTGCAACCCAGGCATGTGCTCTGACTGGGAATCAAACTGATGACCTTTTCATTCACAGTCTGGCACTCAATCCACTGAGCCACACCAGCCGGGGTACAGTTTTTCAAAGTGGTCGTACCAATTTATTCCCATCGGAAATATATGAGTTCTAGTTCCACAAACTGGCCAATATTGGGTATTGCTATTAATTTTTTTGCCATTTTAATAAGTGTATGTCTCATTTGTGGGTTTTAATTTCCAACAGCATCTTTAAAAGTATGTAGACTTGTTTGAAATTTTGGATATCTTTTTTTTGTAATATGTCTGTTCAAGTCTTGTGCCAATTTACTGGGTTGTCTTTTTTTTTTAAGATTTTATTTATTTATTTTAGAGAGATGGTGAAGGGAGGGAGGAAGAGAGGGAGTGAAACATCAATATGTGATTGCCTCTAGCACACCCCATACTGGGGATACGGCCTGCAACCCAGGATGTGCCCTGACTGGGAATCAAACCAGTGATGTTTTGGTTCACAGGCTGGTGCTCAATCCACTGAGCTACACCAGCCAGGGCAGGTTGTCTGTCTTTTACTTAGTTTTTTGTAAAAGTATTTTTTAAATACGTATTTCGGATTTGAGTTCATTATTGGATATATGATTTGTGACTGTCTTCTCCTAGTTTGTTACTCACTTGTTCTCTTTCTTAATGGTGTCTTTTGATGAATTTCTCAATTTTAATATAGTCTATTTATTTTATGTTGGTACTTTTAAAAAATTAATCCTCACCCAAGAATGTATTAATTGATTTTTAGAGAGAGAGGAAGGGTGAGACACAGAAAGACGGACAGAGACAGAAACAGAGACAGAGACAGAGACAGAGACAGAAAGAGAAGCATTAATGTGAGAAACATGGATCCATTGCCTCCCATACGCACCCTGACTGCAGTGCGAACCCTCAACCTAGGTATGTGCCTTGTCTGGGAATTGAACCTGAACCTTTTGGTGTACAGGAATGCTCCGACCAGATGAGCCACCGAGCCAGGGCCCTGCTTGGTCCTTTTGGTGTCCATTTAAATAATCTTTTTTCTATTCTCATTTTTTATTAGAAAATTATTCTTTTCAAAAGTACATTGTAAAAATATTAGAACACATAGATAACAAGAAAAATAGTCACCTATAATGTTACCATTAACAGGTATAACTTCTAACATTTTGATACACATTCTTCTCCTTATGTTTATACACATAGTTTTCTTTCAAAAAAGTGGAATGAGCTCTGACTGGTGTGGCTCAGTAGATTCAGTGTCAGCCTGAGAATCCAAAAAGTGGGATGGTACTATATTTATTTTAGTTAACACTTTAAAATTTATATTTTATATATACTTGATCTTACCCAAAAGGCTGAGAAGCAATAAAACTTATATTTTATATAAATATCAATAAATAGTCATCATCCCAACTGTTAGTGGTTACATAGTAGTCCATCACATAGATATGCCGAGGTGTCATTTTTAACTAGTAAAATTTACATAGTGATATGTGAACAAGCAGTATCAGTAGCACTCTTTGGATTGAGAATCATCTAAGAAATCCACTAAGGCAATGATGTACAGTGTCCAGAATTTTAGGCTCAGAATTCAAGGCCATCCCCATGGCCTTGGTAAAGTCATTCAGTCCCTCTCCACCCTGGAATTCTCCATATTCAAGAACGGGTCAGAGGAAATCATCTATCAGGTGTGCTCCAACTTGGAATGTCTGAGGATTCACCCATAACAAGGCTGTTGCTATGTGCCTTTTCTTTCTCTAGTGTTTTGACTTACTCACTTGTGATCTAAATGATATTAGGTCAGAGTAAACCAACACCCTTTGGGAATTGTGTGGCAAGGTGATCATGTCCTTGGAACAGATGAGTGTAGGGGTATACATCACAGCTTTACTTAAAGTCAGCTGTGGTTGTGTGACCCTAAGGGATTTCCCTGGAGAGGAGCTAAGAAATGAAACTTCTTTTTATAAGAAGAAAGTTGATTTAGAGAGTTAAGAACTTTCATGGGGGGAAATCACTGTTATAATTAACTCACAAAAATTGGGAAGAGAGAAACCCAAATAAAAAAGACACCATAAAAGGTAAATGCATAAAACATTGCAAAGACCTTTTAGAAAGAGTCGAGCAGAGGAAATATAATTATTGGATGTGTTCCACACACAAATAGCTCCTTGAATCACTGGGATGACATTTAAGGGTCTGATTTGGAAAGTGAGGGCCAGAAATCTAAATTTTTGTTGGTGCTTATTTGTTTATCACGTCACTATGGGCCAGTCACCTCTCTGAGCCTGTGTCCCCATCTGTAAAATGAGGAAATGATAGTATCTTACAAGTTTGCCCAGATGAGCAGGTATGTGGCTTGAAGCAAGTAAAGCCCTTAGCCAATCTTAGCACATGGTAGGCACTCAATGTTTTTCTTTTGCTATTTAAAAAAATTAAGATAAAATTCACATTCCATAAAGTTCACCATTTTAAAGTATACAACTCAGTGGTTTTCACATATTCACAATGGTGTGAAACCACTGTCCCTGTTTCCAGAACTTTTCCATCACCCCAAAAAGAAACCCTGTACCCACTCACAGTCACTCTCAATTATCCCCCCCCCGCCGGCAACTACTAACCTATTTTATGTCTTTATAGATTTGCCTATTCTGGACATTTTCTATAAATGGAATCTACAGTCTGAGATCTTTTGTGACTGACTTTCATTAGCATAAAGCACTCTGTATTATTGTTTTGTCTTTGTTCCTATTCCCTATGACTCAAAGAGCATAGGAACTAAATGACATAATGAATATGGAATCTCCTTGTAAAGAAGAAATTGCTCTGGAAATGGAAGGACTGATTTATCCATTGGGGTATTTCCTCTTGTGGAAATGGAGAGATGCCCATTAGAACTTCCTAGAGGGAAAATAAAATCACAAAATTAAGAAACATGACAGGACTAAAAATATCCTCTATTTTTTTGGAAAACATTCAGCTACCTTTTTTCCTAAAGCTTTTTTCATGCTCATTTAAATTCTCTTCACTCTGAGATCTGTGACCACTAGTCCAGTCGTATGTCTGTCCAACCTTTGAGCCATGCTATTCCTGGATATGGAATTTGGAGGCAGAGCTGTAGAGGACCTCAGGAGGAAGCCGTTAGCCAGCTCCCACACGCCAGTCATCCATAGTGGCCTCTGCGCCACCCCCAGAGGGTTGATGGAGGCCACCAATAACACATCTGAAGGCAGATATTGCACTTGATTTCTATTCAGTCTTAATTTTGCTCATGTTAACACAAGAAGAAGCCTGGAGTCCATTTTTTATTTTATGTGTGTGGATTATGACTCACCTGGGTATTTGTTCAAATGGTCCTGCCCACATTTAGCACAATCAAAACTCTCAGGATTATTAGCTCAGACTCTAAATGAAAAACCTTCTTCACTCATAGAAGTAATTATTCTGTTTTGCATTGCCTCCCAGAGAATTTCTTGAAGACTTAAAAATTCAAAAGACTCTTCTCAGAGTTCATTGTTTTATTTATCCTCCTCCGCCCTACAGGTGTGCTGATGTTGGATGGTCTCTAGGTTTGGACAGGGCTCCATGGTTTATGTCACACGGTCTGGTGGGAAGGCGAAGCATTTCCTACCAGGAGCAAAAATAAGGTTAGGAAAGATTGCTGAACTGTCTTTCACTGACCTGTGTGATGTCAGATGATCTCCCTGCTCGATCCTGCCTCCCTGTTAGTTTTTAAAAAATTTAAAATGTTTCAAGAGGTGTGGTTGTTAAAAGATCAGACTATGAAGCCAGACTGCCTTCAAATCCCAGGGTCACCACTTACCAAATATGTGACACTGGGCAACTTTCTAATCTCTGCATCTCAGCTTCCTCACCTGTAAAATGGGGGTAATGAGAGTAACTTCCTTACAGGGTTGAAATGACTAAAATAGTTAATACACGTAAAGAACTTAACACTGTGCCTATGACATGGTATTTTCTTCTTATATACATACATATATAAAAAGAATAACATAATAAACATTTAAGTCCTCACACAGAAATCCTAGCACTATGCAATATTTACTTTTTATATTTTTAAATATATTTTATTGATTATGCTATTACAGTTGTCCCATTTTCCCCCCTTTATTCCCCTTCACCCTGCGCACCCCCTCCTACACATATTCCCCACCTTTAGTTCATGTCCATGGGTCATACATGTAAGTTATTTGGCTTCTACATTTCCTATACTATTCTTAAACTCCCCCTGTCTATCTTCTACCTATCATTTGTGCTACTTATTCCCTGTACCTTTTCCCCATTTCTATAACCCTCCAGGTGATCTCTATTTCTGTGGTTCTATTCCTGTTCTAGTTATTTGCTTAGTTCATTTTTGTTCTTGTTTTTGTTTTTTTTAGATTTGGTTGTTAATAACTGTGAGTTTGTTGTCATTTTACTGTTCATAGTTCTGATCTTCTTTTTCTCAGATAAGCCCCTTTCACATTTCATAGAATAAGGGCTTGGTGATGATGAACTCCTTTAACCTAACCTTATCTGGGAAGCACTTTATCTGCCCTTCCATTCTAAATGATAGCTTTGCTGGATAGAGTCATCTTGAATGTAGGTCCTTGCTTTTCATCTCTTTGAATACTTCTTTCCAAACCCTTCTTGCCTGCAAGGTTTCTTTTGAGAAATCAGTGACAGTCTTACGGACGCTCATTTGTGGGTAACTGTCTCCTTTTCTCTTGCTGCTTTGAAGATTCTCTCCTTATCTTTAATCTTGCCTAATGAATTATGATGTGCCTTGGTGTGTGCTTCCTTGGGTCCAAGTTCTTTGGGATTCTCAGAGCTTCCTGGACTTCCTGGAAGTCTATTTCCTTTGCCAAATTGGGGAAGTTCTCCTTCGTGATTTGTTCAAATAAGTTTTCAATTTCTTGTTCATCCTTTTCTCCTTCTGGCACCCCTATGATTTGGATGTTGGAGTGTTTAAAGTTGTCCTAGAGGTCCCTAAGCCTCTCCTCATTTTTTTGAATTCTTGTTTCTTCATTCTGTTCTGGTTGAATGTTTCTTTCTTCCTTCTGGTCCAAATCGTTGATCTGAGTCCTGGTTTCCTTCCCATCACTGTTGGTTCCCTGTACATTTTCCTTTATTTCACTTAGTACAGCCTCCATTTTTTCATCTAATTTGCGACCAAATTCAACCAATTCAGTGAGCATCCTGATTACCAGTGTTTTGAACTCTGCATCTGATATGTTGGCTAGATGTTGGTCACTCAGTTGTATTTTTTCTGGAGCTTTGATCTGATCTTTCATTTGGACCTTTTTTTTTGTCTCAGTGCACCTGTTATGTAGAAGCTGCAGAGCCTTAGATGTTCACCAGGGCAGAGCAACCCAAGTCTCTACACTGTGGTGCTGTATGTGGGGTTGGGGTTCAAGAGGGAACAATGCTGCTTGCTCAGCTCTCTGCCAGCTTTCAGTCACTCCTCCCGTCTACCCACAAGTCGAAATTGGGCCCTTCTAGTGCTGATTCCCTGGGTGGGTGGGCGTGTGTGTACATTCTAGGGACCCTGTTGGCTTTCTCCAATGAACTCTCCTGTGAGCCTGGGCAGTTTGTCCCACCACCTGCAACCCCTCACAGGTTTTTTCATTCAGGGGTTTTGAGGTTTTATTTCCCCGCGCTGGAACCCTGGGTTACTTAGTCTGTCTCATTCCCCAGTTTTTCCTCCCAGTTTATCTGCACATAAATGTGGGACCCCCCACTTGGCCAGCCACCACTTTACCCAGTCCTCCAGCAGCCGCCTTTCTGCAAGTCCTCTCTGCCCAGGCCGCCCATCTCTGCCCTTCCTACGCGTCTGTATGAATGTTTCTTCTTTAATTCCTTGGTTGTTGGACATCCATACAATTCAACTTTCTGGCAGTTATGGTTGTTTTTTGTTTTAAAATTTGTTGTCCTCCTTCTGGTTGTGCAAGGAGGCCCAGTGTATCTACCTATGCTTCCATTTTGGCTGGAAGTCTTTCAAGTCTCTGTATTCATTTATTTTTTTAATAGTTTAATTATTTTGCAAAGACTCATACATGTTTGTTATAAATAAAATTAAATAATATAGAATATTATAAAGAAGGAAGTAAAAAATCACCCTAAGTCCCACTACCCACAGGACAGATACAAGAATATTCATTGCAATAATGCTTATGAAAGCAAAATACTGGAAGCAATATAAGTGTCCATCAACAGGAAAATGGGAACATCAATTGTGATACAGTCATTAAAACACCCACAGCAATTAAATTGACTTAACTCTATGGCAACATGGATAAATCTCAAAACATGAATTTGAATGAAAAAAGTAGTGGCAGGGGATTCATATAATATGATACAATCTTTATAAGGTTTAAAAACATAAAACAATAACATAATTTTTATGGACTCATACCAACTTTTAAAAATAATGTGTAATGGATTCAGAAAAATGGTTATCTCAAGAAAGAAAAAGAAGGGAGTGTAATAGGGTTGGATACTCATGTGTCTGTGTTAATTGTTTCAGTAATATTTTGTTTTAAAAATGTCTAAGGTGGAACCAGCCAAGATGGAAGAGTGGGTAGACCCCCGTGCCTCCTTGCACAGCCAAAAGAAGGACAACAACAAATTTAAAAACAAAAAACAACCAGAACTGACAGAAAATTGAACTCTATGGAAGTCCAACAATCAAGGAGTTAAAGAAACATTCATCCAGACCAGCACCCGGGACAGAGAGGACTCAAGGCAAGATGGCGGCTGGTGGACCCAGCCAGGCAGTGGATTGTGGACTAGGTGGTCCCACATTCACGTGAAGATAAACTGGGAAGAACAACTGGGGAGTGAGACAGACCGCGCAATCCAGGGTTCCAGAGTGAGGAAATAAAGCCTCAAACCTCTGATTGAAAACACCTGTGGGGGTTCAGGTGGTGGGAGAAACTCCCAGGCTCACAAGAGAGTTCATTGGAGAGGCCAACAGGGTCCTAGAATGTACACAAGCCCACCCACCCAGGAATCAGCACTAGAAGGGCCCAATTTGACTGTGGGTAGACAGGGAAGTGACTGAAAACCGGCAGAGCTGAGACAGTGGCATTGTTCCTGCTCTGTCCCCTTCCCCACATACAGCATCACAACGCAGACACTTGGGTTGCCCTGCCCTGGTGAACATCTAAGGCTTTGCAGCTTCTACATAACAGGTGCACTGAGACAAAAAAAAAGGTCCAAATGAAAGATCAGATCAAAGCTCCAGAAAAAATACAACTGAGTGACCAACATCTAGCCAACATATCAGATGCAGAGTTCAAAACACTGGTAATCAGGATGCTCACTGAATTGGTTGAATTTGGTCGCAAATTAGATGAAAAAATGGAGGCTGTACTAAGTGAAATAAAGGAAAATGTACAGGGAACCAACAGTGATGGGAAGGAAACCAGGACTCAGATCAACGATTTGGACCAGAAGGAAGAAAGAAACATTCAACCAGAACAGAATGAAGAAACAAGAATTCAAAAAAAATGAGGAGAGGCTTAGGGACCTCTAGGACAACTTTAAACACTCCAACATCCAAATCATAGGGGTGCCAGAAGGAGAAAAGGATGAACAAGAAATTGAAAACTTATTTGAACAAATCACGAAAGGAGAACTTCCCCAATTTGGCAAAGGAAATAGACTTCCAGGAAGTCCAGGAAGCTCTGAGAATCCCAAAGAACTTGGACCCAAGGAAGCACACACCAAGGCACATCATAATTCATTAGGCAAGATTAAAGATAAGGAGAGAATCTTCAAAGCAGCAAGAGAAAAGGAGACAGTTACCCACAAATGAGCGTCCGTAAGACTGTCACTGATTTCTCAAAAGAAACCTTGCAGGCAAGAAGGGTTTGGAAAGAAGTATTCAAAGAGATGAAAAGCAAGGACCTACATTCAAGATGACTCTATCCAGCAAAGCTATCATTTAGAATGGAAGGGCAGATAAAGTGCTTCCCAGATAAGGTTAGGTTAAAGGAGTTCATCATCACCAAGCCCTTATTCTATGAAATGTGAAAGGGGCTTATCTGAGAAAAAGAAGATCAGAACTATGAACAGTAAAATGACAACAAACTCACAGTTATTAACAACCAAATCTAAAAAAAAACAAAAAACAAGAACAAAAATGAACTAAGCAAATAACTAGAACAGGAATAGAACCACAGAAATAGAGATCACCTGGAGGGTTATAGAAATGGGGAAAAGGTACAGGGAATAAGTAGCACAAATGGTAGGTAGAAGATAGACAGGGGGAGTTTAAGAATAGTATAGGAAATGTAGAAGCCAAATAACTTACATGTATGACCCATGGACATGAACTAAAGGTGGGGAATATGTGTAGGAGGGGGTGCGCAGGGTGAAGGGGAATAAAGGGGGGGAATGGGACAACTGTAATAGCATAATCAATAAAATATATTTAAAAAAGAAACTAAATGAATACAACCTATTTTTCCTAAAAATGAGAGAATGAATGCATATTGAAAAATTATAAGGTGTTGTTATGTAAATATATATCAGCATTAATAATACCGATACTAATATTAGTATTAGTATTGATGTTAGTATTAATATTAGTATTCATTACCCCAATCTCCTCTGGCAGGAAATTGGAAATTAATAAAGAAATGAAATAATGGTTCCACAATAATGGAGAAAGTAATGACAGTTCCATGGAAATACAATCAGGCTGAACGTTGTGAAAAGGTAAACTTAGAATTGAAAGAATCTGGAGGAAAGAGGAAGGCAGTTTCTTTCTGAGCCTTGGGCTTAAATCCTGGCTTTCTCAAAAAAATCTGTGTCTCCTTGGACACACTATTTAAACTCTCACTCTCCATTTCTTTATCTGCAAATGGGA